GGACGTCAAAAGGATTCTAGTAATAAAGAAAATGTAAGTTTGCTAACTTTTAGTATTGAGGTTAATCTATGAAGTAATTTTGTAAGCTGCTGTATTTTGATGCATTTCTTTTCTTACAATGGGAGATGCATATATCTCTTAGATTGTAAGCTTCAAGGATCTGGGCTCTCCTAACCCTCTTGTATTGAACTGTGTTGTTGCTGTATTGTCTCCTGTTATATTGTAATGCACTGAGCAAACTGTTGGTGCTATATAAATCCTGTATAATAATAATAAATAGAACGGTGGGCTGATGTTGAAGAGTATATGACCTGCTTGTCCCCTACACAAATAAAAATGTGGTGACTGCTGTCCATCCTTTTTTATTTCCCCCCCCCCCATCTCTTGATCACCTTTTCACTCTCTGTTATATGTGTTGGCCATTGTGTATATACTATAACAGTCCTTTTCTCCGGTTTTCAGGAGGGTGGGTTGTTTAAGAATCCAGGTAAACCTTGCTCTATGCTGCTTCTCCAGGAGGCAGCTGTGACACCCATATCTCCAACATTTGGAACCAAGGTGAGTTGTTGTGTGTGTGTGTTTGTTTTTTTTTTTTTGTTTTTTTAATATAGAAAGTAATCTTTTATAGGTAAATGCTGTGCCTTTTTTATAGATATCACTTTCTAAGATTTCCAAGAATGTGTATAGTCTCTCTACACAAAGGATACTGATTTTGTTACTAGTTGCTTTTCTAACCCAACCTAAATGCCTGCAGAACTATGAACAGAAAAAATAGCACTCCTCATCAGAGAACAGGGATTTGGACAAAATAAAAATCAAAGCCACACAAATAAAGCTTCAGTATTTGGAGGCAATCTCTTGTATTTTCACTGCACCATCGGAAATTCAGAATGTTTTGTATAGTTAGTTATTGTACAGCTCAACTCCCGACATACTGTAGGTAACTTTTGAACAGTAGATATCATGGTATTTTTTTTACTAAGGTTAACCTAGAACCACAGAATCTGTAGCCAGTTTTAAAATATTGGTGAACAATGCTGGTAGCAAGTTCTGCTGCTATATACTGTATACAGAAAGAGAGCATGTAGACAAATATGCTTCTGTTATACAAAATCTGTAAAAAAAATGTTCATTATATTTTGTCTGTAATGGTTATATTTTAAATTCAGTTTATTTTGAATTATGTTTCAAATCTGTTTCTTTGTACTGAACACCACCCGTTGTCTGATATATTAGCTGTCAGCTGTCATTTTGTTCATAATCATCTGTACAGGATGACCTCTGTACAGTAGAGGACTCTGAGCTCCACGTCTTGGCATCTCCGATCAGTTCTACTTCAGCTGGTGTTGACGAGGACAAAATGGGAAACCTTGATGGGTTCTCCGAATTTTTTGCTATGGATGAGGAAGAACAGCCAGAGGTAAAGGCCTGAATCTATCTATCTATCTATCTATCTATCTATCTATCTATCTATCTATCTATCTATCTATCCCTTTTGTTAGAAAGTAACCAGTCATTTAGTTTTACCAATAGCAGTTTTGTATGCTTGATTGCCTATTGGAATGTTCCAATAACTGTTCTGTGAAAAACACTCTTATAACATGTTTGCTTGCTAGTACACTTTTAAACAATAAGCTCATATAGCTGGTTTATGCGAACAATGTCTCTTAGCCTTGTCATGGTTACATTATGTAGCATTGCATAGATATGCCTCTGTTTACCTCATTGCATTTAAAACAGATCTAAATCCAATCAATTTAATTGCTTCCCAAAACAATTCCATTCAAGGCAGTCTTGAATGATAACTGTCAAATGTGCCTATGCTCTCAACTGAACTGTGAAGCCATCAAATTGCTGCTGTCATAACTGTTCACATGTGTAGCACCATGGCAACTGCAGATCAAACAGGCTAAGATGGCAGCTTACTTAACTGTAGTGGATGGTTTAGTTCCACTTTCAGGATAAAACCAGTCCGTATCATCAAGATGTGTGCAGGCCTTGTATGGGCTCCTTTTTGAAACATAATGGAGATCTTCACATTACCTTCAGTAATTCCAGCCCTTTACACAGGCACTAACAAATGGAGAGTGGTGCATGTGGATATGGCTGCACAAAGACCTAATCATTTTGGTTGCAATGTAATAATATTTTTGTATATGTGTTAATTAGCCTCTTCCCAAACATCCATCTATGCCACATCTAGTTAAAGTAGAGTAACCCTTAACAACCCGACTTGAATCATTTTAAAGGCGTCCTGAATGTATAAAAGGTTAAATATAGCTGCTGTTCGTTTTGCACAATGCTAGGTGCATGGCTAACCGGATGGCTTCAGTAATCTCAGCCATTGACTTTAAGCAGGTATCCATATTATTCCTTCTGACTTTACTGGTTACATGCTTGTCAATGACCAGAGGAAGTATTGAAGCCAAATGTTCAGCATGACAGCCACGCAACGATCTCTCTTTTGATCCCTCTCTAAACATGGTAAAGAAAATTGGAAGAAACAAATTTATAGCAAGACATTCCTATATTTGGACACAGGTAACTGTACCCAAAAAGAGGTTTCTTTTTGGATGAAGTTAGGTAGGGTTTATCCTTTACTGGAATTTCACTGTTCTGTGGCATTATGGCAATAACCTACTTAATAATATACTTACCTGCTCTGTGCAATGGCTTTTCATGGAGCAGCCCCAATCCTCCTCTTTTTGGGTCCCCCGCCGGAGATCCAGACCCCTCCCTCCTGCCTAGTTCCCCCATAGCTAGCAGCTTGCCATAGGGACTCCTGAGCTGCTGCTCTGCGTGTCCATTCACACACGGAGCACAGCTCAGCCCCACCCCCACTCTCTCTCTTCATTGGCTCACTGGCTGTGAACGACAGTAGCGGGAGCCAATGGCTACTGCTGCTGTCTTGGCCAATGAGGAGGGAAAGACTCAAGAGAGCCAAGGCTCAGCTAACTTTTAGGGAGGGGGGGGGGGGGGGGGCTGAAGGAGCTGCTACACACAGATGTTTTTTTACCTTCATACATAGAATGCACTAAGGTAAAAAACCTTGAGCCTTTACAAGCACTTTAAAATGACCCCGCTGTGAAAATAAATTGTCCCAAAAATGTGTCACTGTAAAAGAAGGGAGCATATTCTCGCCTGTCCCACTTCCCATATTGCTGTATGCTGCTACGTTGAAAAGGAATCGTCAGATGTAGTCTACTGGGAAACACTTCTGTGAGTGTCAGTCTTCTGGTTACCTGCTGCATTCAGAAGTTCCTCTGACTGACCTCAATGTCACTAGAGTACACAGTAATATAGTTGAGGCCATGGGAACCCCTGGCAGCTGTAGGGGACCAGGAGATCCCAAGTGTTGGTTTTTCTAGCAGACATACTGGGATTATTCTTTGCAATGAAGCAGTGTTCAGCAGTACAGGCAATGGAATAGATGATTATATACTTTTTACAGACACACCTTTTTAATGGGGGAATTTTATTTTCGCAACATGATCGCTTTTAAGAAGGGACACCTTGCAGTGATCTTTTTTCGTGTATGCAAACTACTTAAAATTACAGGAAAATACAAGGCATACAGACTGCTGCAATTATGTATACATGCACACACTATGTATTTTTCCCTAAGCAATGAAGATTGGCAAAAGTCTGGGGACACCCCAAAAATCATTTAGCTTTTGCTATAGGTGGTCCATGATTTCCTTATCAAACAGGGCATCATTTCGCCACCATGAGACAACACTAAAACTGCACAGGAGAGAGACTACCAAGATCAAGAATGTGTAGAACTATAGCCAAAACTTTTTTTTTTTTTTTTTTCAGTTTGGATAGAACGGGGGAGTATAAACTCTGTCAGATTCTTTTTCCATAATCTGTGTCCTGTTGCGGAGATTTATCTTCACTTCCTGTCACATTGTCAAACAGGAAGTGAAGAAATCCCTGCAAATAACAGACTCCCAGGTCTCCAGAACTAGTGTCCCCATTGGAAGATTTCCCCTCTATTACTGCTATGGGGACAACCCAAAATTTGGGGTTTGCCTTAATTTTCACTTTCAATGTTAATGGTAAACAGGACAAATCGAGAGGGGGAGTCTCCTTAAAGGGGGCACAGACAGCAATAAAAACTGACAGGGTCCCTAATCCCTCTCCACTCTATCCAAAACTTTAAAAAAATCTTTTTGCCTTTAGTGCCATTTATGTCCAATGACAAGAACATTGATCTCTTGTTTGTCATGAGAACACTTCCATACTATTAAATTAAGAGTTCTTTTGTCATAGTATCCACTTTCATTTTAGCACATCAGCAATGTAATCGCAATAAGAACGATGGCTATATTTGACATTCCAACATAAGATTACTTTAGAACTCTCCATTCCTGTTGTGAGTGTTGTCTATCTGCTTGCCATCTCTTTGCACAGCTTGCAGGTAATTAGCAAGTTGTTTAGCTTCTCTTCTGCAGTTTACTTTCAGTTTCTAAGGACTACATATCCTATGATACCTTGCTGTCTGTAAGCTGTGATTCCTGTACTGGCTCCGCCTCCTGAAATTCCTCCTCTCTGCATCTCTGCAGAAGGCTCTGTGCATTCTGTGATACCATGATGCCTATGCATAGGACATAGTTTGTGTCACAGAATTCAAGGATATAAATGTGTGTGATTCTTTACAAAGTAAGTTTTGAACATTCTTCTACTTCTTAAGATCAGGCTAGAAATAAATGAAATACAATGTGGAAATAATATATGATTTAACATTTTGACTATATGTACTTTTAAGTACAGGACCAGCTGCATTGCATTTTAAAATGCTGGCAAAATAAGTGAGTATTGGTTTTATGTGTACCATTTGCTGAGAAGGTACTGTTAAGTTTTCCCAAACTGTTCCTTTGTTTAACCACCTCCTGCCCGCCATATAGTCCAATGACGGGCACAAGGTGGTTCTCTCGTTCTGGGAGGAAGTCCTATGACGTCCTCCCATTCTCATTGCGTATGCGCGGCTCAGGGAACGTGCGGCGATCGGCGGTGCGCTGTGTCCCTTGGACACAGCGGATCACGGAAAGAGCCGAAGATGTCGGCTTGGTTATGTGATCAACTGTGTCCAATCACAGCTGATCAAATGTAAACAGGGAAATTCCGGTTATCGGCATTTCTCTCCTCTCGAGCTGTCACACTGACAGCTCGAGAGGAGAGGAGAGCTGGTAATCGGCTTTCTGCGGAGGGGACATGTACACTGATTATCAGGGCACTGATGATCCGTGTGCCCTGATGATCAGTGTAGCCCCAGCAGTGCCACCTTGTCAGTGTCCATCAGTGCCTTGTGTCAGTGCTCATCAGTGCCACATCAATGCCACATATCGGTGCCTACCAGTGCACATCAATGCCACATATCAGTTCCCATCTGAGCTGCCTTTCAGTGCCACCTATCAGTGCCAGTCAGTGCCACATATCAGTGCCACGTATCAGTGATGCCTGTCAATGCCCATCAGTGCCACCTACCAGTGCCTCCTCATCAGTGCCCATTAGTGCCACCTAGCAGTGTCCATCAGTGCCCATCACTACAGCCTCATTAGCGCACATCAGTGAAGAAGAAAAATCACTTATTTACAAAATTTTATAACAAAAACTAAGGAAAAAAAACGTTTTTTTTTTTTTTTTTTTTTAAATTTTCAGTGGTTTTTGGTTATTGTTTAGGAAAAAATAAAAAACCCAGAGGTGATTAAATACCAGCAAAATAAAGCTCTATCTGTCACAAAAAAAATGATAAAAATTTCATATGGGTACAATATTGCATGACCGCGCAATTGTCATTCAAAGTGCGACAGTGCTGAAAGCTGGAAATTGGCCTGGGCAGGAAGGGGGTAAAAGTGCCCTGTAGGCTTGTGGTTAATGTTGCAAAACTCACATACTGGAGCCAAGCCTTATTGCATATGAAATGACTGAGACAAGTAGGAGTGGGGTTTTTCAGGTGTATATGTTATTAGATTGATTGAAATATTAGTTTATTTTACACATATACATAAAGTCTAAATGAAATGATACTCACGAAAAAAAAAAGTGAAGCAGTTCACTAGGGAGAGCCAGAGTGCTGCAATGACGGTGATAAGTGGGGCCTATTAACTGGAGGAGTAATGAAAAAATATTCTAGAAACCTACAAGGAATGATTAAGAGGTTAACTATTAGGCAGAAATTAAGAAGACAAATGCATATAAAAGGGGAAGAAAGATCAATTTTTCCATAACTGTTACTATTAAAGGATAAGTTCACCGTTTGCACAAAAAAAATAAATGCACTTTTTTTGCAGGTAAAAATATGTGCATTTAATATTTTTGTCTGCAGGAGCCTGTAAAGCATTGAACCAGCGATCAGTATATCGCGGGTGCCATGCAGGTCTCCTGCAGATCTGTCAGTATATCAGTTTGCCCTTACGAGATGTACAAGCAAGCAGATATACTGACAGGAAGATTCAATGAACTATCACAGTGTTCCACAGTGCCAAGGTAGTTCATTGAAAATTACCAGCCAACAGCTGCTTAGGCTGTCAGGACTTGTAGTGCATTCATTCATGGAACTCTGAATGAATGGCGCGGCCTTGTGGGCGGAGCCCCGCACAGCCACGTTATTTTTTAAATCTGACAGATGATCGGGGGGAACTTCTCACTGTACTTCTGTCAGAGGGAGGGGGGGCAGCAGGCTACAGCAATGGGTGAAACATGTAACTAACATGTTCCCAAAGGTGAACTTATCTTTTAAAGCGGAGTTCCAGTGAAACCGTAAAAAAATAGTTTTTGTAGCTGCTGACTTTAAAAAAAAAAAAAAAAAACAGCCACTCGCCTGTCCCTCGATCCCACAGTATCCTCCCTGCAGCCAGTTTCACCAGCCGTCCTGTGTTCCCAGTGGTGGCATATTCAGTGTGGGCACCCAGCTGTGACAGCTTGCGGCTTCACAGCTGGGTGCCCACTGCGAGTCACGCTGCGCTTTCTGAATTGTCCCGTAGTCTTCTGGGACCTGTCATGTGTTCCAGAAGACTATGGGGAAGGAGGGGGGAGGAGGACCTCTTCTGCTTCCGATCTCCTAGGTCGGGTGTCGGCAACCCGCGGCTCCGGAGCCGCATGCGGCTCTTTTTCACCTTTCCTGCGGCTCCGGAGCACACTGCCCACCAGGTGACAGGCAATAGGGTCGTCAAGCCGTGGCTCTTTTAATGCAGCTCTTCTGTGTGCCGGGCGCCCGCTGGCAAACATTGGCTGTCAGGATGTAGGCGGGGCAGCGTGACGAACTCCTCTCCTCTCACAGTCAGCCCTGAAGACCAGAATGGCACAGGAACACAGCGAGAGGAACGCGCGGAGTAAAGGTAAGTGAATTGACACAATATGGGGAATGAATTACTATAGGGGGGATGAATTACTATATGGGGGATTAATTACTATATGGGGATTAATTACTATATGGGGATTAATTACTATATGGGGGATGAATTACTATAGGGGGGATGAATTACTATATGGGGGAGGAATTACTATATGGGGGAGGAATTACTATATGGGGGAGGAATTACTATATGGGGGTGAATTACTATGGGGGATGAATTACTATATGGGGGATGAATTACTATATGGGGGATGAATTACTATATGAGGGATGAATTACTATATGGGGGATGAATTACTATATGAGGGATGAATTACTATGGGGGATGAATTACTATATGGGGGATGTATTTTCAGTTTTAAAAATGTTTCTCTCAAAATAAATTTAAATCGTGGTTTTGGCGAGATTTGGCTCAGTTGAAAAAAAAGGTTGCCCACCACTGACCTAAGGCTATGATTGTGATTATGACAATACGCTGTGGCCCTGATTAACCCTTTGCTTACTGGGCCCTTAAACCCCCTTCATGAAGTGCTTTTTGCAATATATGCAGTGTCGGATTTGTTTTAAATGTTGCAATGGTTTTGCGGCTCCCAGTCTTTTTTTCACTCTCAGAAACGGGTCCAAGTGGCTCTTCATGTCTTAAAAGGTTGCAGACCCCTGTCCTAGGTGATCGCAGCTGAACTGGGAGCGTGTACTTGTCAATTTACGCCCCCCCCCCCCCCCCGCTCCCCTAAGGTGCCAATCCTTACCGGGGAGCAGTCATTAAAGCGGAACGTCCCCTTTTGGGTAGAGCTTTGCTTTAAGTCCCACAAAATCCATAACAAATGCAGATTAAGGTACCTTATCCCCAGGACTAGATCCCAAATATGCCATAAGATGACGAGATTTATTCTGAATGTTTAAACAAAAATACTTGCTGCATAAGCAATGAACCCTTTAAAGGAGTAGAAATGCAGTGTACTGTATATAAGAAGATTTTCTCAAAGTTTAGTTAACAGTAATAGTTATAGAAATTGCTCTCCCTTCCCTTTTTTTTTTTTTTTTTTTTTTTTATATGCATTTATCTTCTTTGTGTATTCCTAATACACTTTGTGGAGAACTTGCACTCCACCATAAATTATATTAGGCTAAAATATTTAACCTCTTAATGGTTCCTTGTCGGTTTCTATAATATTTTTCATTACTCCTCCAGTTAATTAGGACTTACTTATCACCGTCACTCTGGCTCCCCCTAGTGAACTGCTTTACTGACTTTTTCAGTGAGTATCATTTCATGGCAATATACAGTGGTGATCTATATACAAGGAATATAAATATAGGATATTGTTGAATATTTTATAGCTAATAATCTTATTTCATTAGGACTATTCTCTGGTCATTATATCCCCTCTGCGGTTTGCCTTGTGCCACTGTGGATCCGCTCCTGTGGACCCCATGGGTTTCCTCCTAGGATTCCATCTGGTCGAGTCCTTGATGGGTTCTGGGTCTGAGGTGTGTGGGGACTGGACAGATTGAGTAGTAGGGGAGTCTTAATCCCCCCTTGTCTGCATGCATGTATACAGTATTCCTGTTATTGTTGGATAAATTCCTATTTGTGCTTTTGTATCTCTATCAGTATCCCACTCACAAGTTTGCTTCCTAAAGAAGCCAAGTAGGCGAAACATGTAGAAGAGCCTGTGCTTGAGGATCTCAATTTAAATCCATCAAATGGCAAATATTGGACATATACTATGGAACTAATAGGGTTCTTTAGAATCTATGTATTTGTGTAAAATAAAATGTAATGTTATATTCAATCTTTTGTTGGCGTGTAACATATGCACCTGAAAAAGCCCACTCCTACTTGTTTTATTCATTTCATATGCCATAAGGGGTGAGATACACTGTGTCAGCAAGAACCAAGGATGGCATTCATGGTACTATGCTGATATGTAGGGTATGCACACAGAAATGCTTCCTTCATAGAAAATTATGTAAGTGCAAAGGGCTCCGGCCATGTGAGAGGGCCTGAAAATTTTCTGATAAAAATCCAAATTTCAGAAGGTGAGGGAGGACTTCACCATGGGGCAACATTAAAACTGCACTAGAAAAAGACTGCTATAATCAAGAAGAGTCAATTGCTTAATGTTTAAAGTCCTGGACCAACTATAACTTAACCAAAGTAAAGTGACTTTTAGTGTATCCCTATTAAATACAAACTATTGTGCATGTTCACTTGCTAGGGAAAGATAGATGGCATGTGTACAAGCATTTGCATGCATATTTATATCACTCTGTATGACCTGTAACTGTAAGTGGTTTTGTATATACATCATTCTTGTTTAGTAAAAGTGCAATAATCTACTACTCGGTTGGTTTCCTCGCTTTACTGCAACAATTAAGACAAACTGTTAGCCAAAATAGGAACAAAAAAATAGGGGAGTGTGTATGTTTTTATGATGGAGTCACTTTACAGAAAGGACCCTGTATGGCCCTAAAGCATTGGTCTGTTTCTGTCTTCACATTCTGATTGGAACATCTGTTGGCAGAGTGTTAGTGCCTGTTCTTTTTTTGCTTTTAATTTTCAATTCATAGCTGTGGATCTCTTCTAAAGTATTGTCATTTCTTCTCTTATGAAGAATCCATCCACAGCTGCTGCTAATTTGTCCTCCTCAATGGCCATCTTACTTTCTGGACCTTTGATGACTCAAGAGGTGGATGTCAGCAATGTAAGTAAAAACACTTTTTTGATTGTTTGTTTTTTTTTTTTGTGGAACAATATCAGAAAAGTGCAAGACTCCTGCATAGGAAAGATTTTTTTTTTTTTTTTGTTGTACATGTTTGAAAAAAAAAAAAGTACTTCTGCAAGTGAAGTGGTGAATGGTAAGTCTATATATTTTCCAGAACTTCAATCACTATATGAAATTAGGTTCATGTTTCACATTTTTGTCTCCCTACAATAAATGCTGATTGCAAAGCCTAATTTTCTGTAAGATAAATCCGTCAAAACTATATAGGAACCTGGATCCTAGATTACATTTACCTTTTTATGTAAAATATATAATAGCATTTTTTTTATTTGCTCCTTTTGATGTTTCTTATAGACCCCTTAATTCTGACAGAAATCCAATGAACTCAAACTTCCTGCATACATATGAGAGGGAGGTGTTTTGTAGTCATAACACTTCCCAAATGTGTTGCTAGCAGCATCACTAGATAAAAAGGTTACAAAGAAAATGAAAGTAGCCACCACATCGAACGATTAGTTAGTTGCAATATGGTACATTAGTTTAGATTAAACTTTAATACAGAACTTTGGGCAAAAACTTCATTATATCTCCTTATGACCCATTTCCTACTTTCACTGAATGTCATCCATCTTCTGGTTCACTCAGTAGTTGGTCTGAAATCACCTATTCATTTTCAAATCAAACCGTTAATTCTCTTTGGTTACCGGTTTGTAAGACCAGTGGCTGCTATGCCTCCTATTCCCCCAGCCACTGGTCTTGGCACATCCATTCTGCAGTTCTCTCTCGAGGAAGCACTGATGTACAGATGTTGGACAAAATTATGGAAACACCAGATAAAAGAACAAGATTGTTACCTGTACCACCTTTGGCATTCAAGAAGGCCTGAGTTCTCCTGAGAATTGACAAATCTAAGTCTTGGATGGTGGATAATGGAATCTGATACCACGCTTCATGCAAAAAAACATTCCAGTTTTTGCAGAGATGCTGGAGGTGGAAGTGACCATAGTGGCTCTGTGATATTGAGGTCAAGCGACTGCGGCGCCCAGGGAAGGTGAGAGATTTAATCTTCATGCTCGTCAGACCACAAGTTGACATTACCAACTGTGTGAATCAGAGCATTATCGCCTTTTATAAATTGCGCTCTCTTCAGAAAACAGTGTCTGAACCATGGGGTGCACATGGTTGGCCAAAATGTCTACATAGATGTTGGCAGTGACTCTACCTTTCAAGGTGGTGCTGGTGCGTGCTGAATGCCAAGATATGGCTGCCCAAACCATGCTTTACCGATGGCAAAAGATAGTCCTGGTCGTAAGCTTGGGACGGTGTTCACCAACGTAAACACATACGGTGTTTGGGAACAGTATGAAGCTAGATTCATCAGAGCATATTACAGTCTTTTGAGTATCACGCCAATTTAGTGAACACAAGCGGCGCATACACTCCACAGCGTTATCATTGAAACATTAGTGACAAATCTCCAATTATCACCCATGCATTGTATATCCTTCATCAATACATATCCTAAACATTATCTCTGTAACAATGTAATGTAAATAATGTTTAGGATATGTATTGATGAAGGATATACAATGCATGAGTGATGATTGGAGATTTGTCACTAAAGTTTCAATGATAACACTGTGGAGTGTATTCGCCGCTTGTGTTCCCTAAATTGGGGTGATACTCACATTTTTGATATTTTAAAGCAAGGTATAGTGGCAGCAAGATCACTTACATAGTACATATTACAGTCTTCCATTGATTAATAGTTTATCATGTTTCACATGACTGTCATATGCCTTTTAAGTGTTCTTTTTATTTTGTCTCTGCTCCTCCCTTTCCTTTGGTTTAGTTCTTGCTGTATATTTAGCCCACCCTTTTTTTTTTTTCCAGTAATGCATTTCAGCTTCTAGCCTCCATGTCATGAAGCAGAGCACCTTATGATTTTTTGACCTATCCGAGGTTTATTGTTGTAAGATTCTCTCAGTTTATGGAATAAATTTCACAAGTTCTACAAGATCACACTTTCAATGCTTAGATTGGAGAGACAGAACAGTTTACAATTCTGAGTGTTGCACCACTCTCTCCTCTTCTGAGCATTACCGGTCACTAGAGGTTTGGCAATAGAAGCTTGCCCATGAATGTTTTGCTTATAGAGTTTTTGTGGACACAAGCTTTGGAAGACGGAGATTGAGCTCTGCAGTCACTTTTGCAGAAGTTATTTTCTTATTCCGGGTCACAATCCTGCACAATGTCCTTTTTTTTTGTCTCTTTCAGTCAGTTGACCATGTCGACTACACAAAACTGTTTTGACTGTGTCGAAACGGTATATGCTGTCATAACCTTTGATACTGTACCTCGCGACACCACAAATAAATTGGCAACTTCCGTCACATAGGCACTAGCTAAGGTCACCAACAATTTGCCCTCTATGAAGCTCAATAAGCACTGACATGACTCTGTATTACTAGCAGCGCACACAGTGAATGAGAAAAGTGAGGCTTCCCACCTGTTAGCTATGTGTCTCATCAAACAGTCGAAGCAATGTGAAACATCACTTTCACACCTGCAAATTATGTAATGTTTTCCATATTTTTGTCCAACCCCTGTATTTCAGCCCCACTTGCAGTCATGGGTAGACTCCGACACATTCAACATGAACAGGCCTAGTGTACCCACCCACATTCACTACAATTACCTGTGGTTGATGGGAACTGTAGTTTCCTTTTACTGCAGAGAGAAGATATGATGCAATCACTGTTACACCTCCTCCTTAGCAGAGCAGATGCTGTTATCTTTAGAATTACAGAGATGAGGTCATGTTTAGTGTTTTGTGTGTACTAATGGCTGATTTTTTTTTTTTTTTTTTGTCTATACCGGAGTTTGGGGAAGCTTTGGAACTTATGGGTTATTTTTCCCCTCACTACTTGAGTGAGCAACATCATTTCACAAAAGCTGAGTTGAATAGCATAATTGTAGTGTGTGTGTGTGTGTGTGTGTGTGTGTGTGTGTGTGTGTGTGTGTGTGTGTGTGTGTGTGTGTGTGTGTGTGTGTGTGTGTGTGTGTGTGTGTGTGTTGTGTGTGTGTGTGTGTGTGTGTGTGTGTGTGTGTGTGTGTGTGTGTGTGTGTGTGATTTTTCTTCTCAATTTCCATAGCCCTGTATATTTGTGCTTTTCTGAGGAAGATATCTAAAGGTTTATGAAGTTGTCGACACTCTCTGCTAGTACCACTTCCTTTACTGCCCTAGGGAGTTCCACATTTTTTACTGCTTTTAACAGTAAATAACTTTTTTTTTTTTTTTTTTCCTCCTAAGGTTAACCTTCTTTTTTTTTTTTTTTTTTTCTAACCTCAAATCGTGCCTGCGTACCCTCTCCAGGGACCTTAGAGTAAACAGTTTATCACAGTTACTGAAGTTTCCCCTTTAATATATTTTCACACTGTAATAATATCCCTTGTTAAGCAGCCTGAACTGTTTGTAATTTAACAATGTCTTTTCCTGATGGCTGGTGACCAAAACTAAATGGCATATTCAAGATCAGGCTGAACAGTGTCTTGTTAACCATTGTACTATGATGATTTTTTATTTTTTTTTTCAAACCAAAATAATATGTTCTTACATTTTTGTAGGTGTCTATGAATCGAAGCAGACTGTATCGGTCACCGTCTATGCCAGAGAAGCTAGACCGGCCTGTTTTAAAGAGGCCTGTACGGCCCCAAGATGGGGAAACTCCTGTTAAGGTGAAAAGAAGACGCAGTACAAGCAGTCCACTCCAGCCTGATGATGAAGAAAACTTTCAACCGAGAAGACGGGTGAGGAAATATTGGGCACTGAACTATATAAATGGAAATGGCGTATTGAAATTACACAAGGTGTTATCAATCTGCTTGCATTATGTATATTTTGTTCTTTCTTTTGTCTCAGGATGTAAGTTAGCTACTTCCAGAGAGCGTTTCTGGTCCTTTAAAGCGGAGTTCCAGACGTTTTTGTGTTTGTTAAAAGTTAGCAGCTACAAACACTGTAGCTCCTGACTTTTAATAAACACACTTATCTGTCCCAGGGTCCAGCAATGTGCTCACCTGCACTGTCTCTTCTCTTCTTCTCTCCATGGTTCCGGCATCTCAACTGTGGGCACCAGGCTGTGACAGCTTGCGGCTTCACAGCCGGGTGCCCACTGCGCATGCGTGAGCCGCGCTGCGCCTCCTGATTGGTCCGGAACTCTTCTGGGACCTATGAAGGTTCCCAGGAGACTGCCGGAGGAAGAAGGGGCCGAACTAGGTGCCAAATATTGCAGTAGAGGGGGGAGGAGGCAAACAAGCGGAGCTTCTACTTTTGGGTGGAACTCCGCTTTAAACATCATTGATTATAGATTATAATAAATCCCATATTAGACATGTGTTTGACCTTGCAATGAAGGTACATTTTGCTGTATGTGTGTTTTTCACATAAACCGCAGAGCTGACTTAAAGGAATTCCCCCCCCCATATTCTGTGTACCACTGTTTTTGTGGAAATCGAGCTTGTGAATTTTTTTCTCTGTTGAATGAGGTCTTTCTATTGGTAATTGCATTTTCAATCTTACTGTAATTATAAATTACCAGTGGAAGAACTGACGTATGTGCCTTTAATGTTGGCCATACACATAGACTTGCAAATTCCTCCATCCGTGCTACACAGCACGAATGGACGAATCTCTTGCTGCGCCTGTTGTATTTTGACATCACAACCCCTCCAGCTGTCAGAATACCAGAACAGTGCCTGCTTGGACAATTTTCCACCCAGCTATTTGGATTTTTCAATCAGGATGTCAGGTGGAAAGTGACTTACAGGGCAACTCACTGAGCAGATGTAGGCCAGTTTATCAGAAACTAGCCAAAATCACTCTCTGTATGGTCATCTTAAAGATCTGACTGCTAAACAAATCATTCTTTATAAATGTGGTATCAGTAGAGTTTCAGGCTAATGCTCTATGCAGATACCCCTAGAGAAATGTTTACAAAATTGGTAGAAAAACTAATCTTGGAAGCCAGTTCTTTCCCTGCATTTGTCCAGTTTTATATCTCCCTTGGAAGTTTGAATGGAAATATAAGCAGGATAGTCCTAGCAGTTCACTGAATATTTTCACTTGTTGCCTAAAATTGTGCTTGAAAGCTGATCTCCAGGCAAACGACCAAATACACAGATAACATTAGCTATTAAAAAAAGTTCTGACTTTTCTCTGACTTTCATTTGCTGCACATTTTGTTTCAGGTTTGTAACTCAAAACATTTGAAGACAAACCTTGCCAGGTAGCTAGCACTTTCAAAAGGAGGTCTGGAAAACTGCCCACACATTTGTGTAGTTTAAGTGAGCAGCCATAATTAACTAGTTACACCAAGAATATTTGTTATTATGTAATTTGAAAGTATGCTTTGTTTTACACGGTCCCTTTTTATTTACAGGGAGCATCTCTGAAAAAGACCCTGTCTCTTTGCGATGTAGATATTACAAAAGCATTGGATGAGGACTATAGTCACAGACAGCTAATTGGAGATTTTTCAAAGGTCAGGTGTGTGTGTGTGTGTGTGTGTGTGTGTGTGTATGTGTGTGTGTGTGTGTGTGTGTCAAAAAAATCAAATAAGTATATATACATTTTATTATGTAACGCTTTATGGACCCTACTATTTTTAAAATATTTCTAGTGCATGAAAATTAACATCATTGATTTTACTCAGCATATACGGCTACAGAGACCAATGCAAATTTAATTGTTCTTTCTTGTACTCCTTTTCTGTGCTTGTTGCTTTGAAACTTTTTGTATCACAGGTCTATGCTTTGCCTACTGTGACTGGACGACACCAGGATCTTCGCTATATCACTGGAGAGACTGTGAGTGTATATTTTACAACTGGAATGGCATGAATAATTGGTATGGGTTAGCTAAAAACGTGCAAAGCATTTTTCAGTGCTGTAAAGAGCCTGCTGAGGCATTTGACCAACATTGTGTGTGACTACCATATGCACACATCTTGTTTCATTACTGATATAACACAGGTTTCTGTTCTTTCATTACTGAAGTAACACAGGCTTTTGATTGTTTTAGCTGGCAGCATTAATTCAAGGAGAGTTTAGTAGTCTTGTGGAAAAATTCTACATTATTGACTGCCGATATCCTTATGAATACGAAGGGGGCCATATCAAGGTGAGCTACTGAAGTTCAGAAAGTACTAAAGTGTGACGTATCTGTTTTGCATGAAAAATTATTTGTTTTAAATTGGAGGTGTTATGAACCTTTATATCTGTTCTCCGGGCAAACCATTAAATACATGGAAGAATACAGTTGTACATATAATAGCTGCTTTAAAAAAAAAAAAAAAAAAAAAATCAGAATTTTGTCTATCCAGTCTAGAGACTGCCTCCTTTTAAAGGTACGGTACCCATGGCAGCATCTTCTCCCTGGGTGCTGGTCTTTGGACATCTCTGTTGGCTGGTGTGGGATGGCATACCTCCTGCTTGTGCACAGGAGTCAGTCATCCTGGCACATGGACTCTCTTGGCGATTGTAAGTTGAGCTGTACATGAGCAGCTCAGTTTACATGCTGCAGTAGACTGTGTGAGCAGGCAGGTAGGTGTATTTTATTGTAGAAGAGACATTGCATGTCTCTTTTGCAATAATACCCTGCCTGCTCGCTGTCTGTTGTAAAATACTTTCAGTTCCACTATAAGGGGATCCAAGAACACCAGTATCATAATTTCAACTCCAGTATGAGTAACAATTTTAGGTTGGCAATAAAGGTCATTGTCCTCTATTGGCTACTTTATTTCCATGCTACCACAGACTGGTTTGTGGTTGGTTATTATCTGCTTTCATTACGTTAGTATGACAGTGGTCTAGGCCAACTCTGCTATCATGGCAAACTGCTTTTGTTAATTACAAAGCAGGTTATATTATAGAGATCATTGGCCATAGTCGGGAACAAAGTAGCATTTAGTGGAAAATACTGAATTGTTAATTGGAAAGTCAGTAACTAAAACAATGCACATTGGCAATGGAGGATAGCTTTGTTGCTGTAGCACCAAATATGATAGGCTTTAGGTTATAGGAGTTTGTAAAAGGTCTACACAGCAGCATTAAGTGCACTCTTTAATTTTTTCTTTCTTCTTACCGTTAAGGATGCATTAAACCTCCATCGACTAGAAGACGCGTTGGCTTATTTTCTAAATCAACCTCTGGTTCCATCTGTGGCACAAAAGCGCATTATTTTGGTGTTTCATTGTGAGTTCTCTTCAGAGAGAGGTCCAAAAATGTGAGTATCTTCTAAGATAAACATTCCTATCGTATAAAGGAAGCATTTTAATTTTTCATTGCGTTTTTCACATATACACATAAACAAATACCTGCACAGTCACAACACTAATAGCTTAAAATATTGCAAGCTGAACACTTAGATTTCACAACTTATAAATAACAGTAATATAATAAAGTGCAGTGCAAAATAATCAAAATAAAAAAGTCAAAATGTCTACAGGCAAAGTCCATAGATGTAATTAAAAGTACTGATCAGACTGTGAAAGGGAGACGTGACATGCATACACATTAAGGTGCACACAGTGTCCAAACCCCACCACCAAAAGTAAATGTGTTCGCTCACTTTAAAAAATATGACTCCTGAACTAACAGGCAAGTCATATCTCACATTGCCCAACAAGGGTATCAATTGTATGGAAACAATTGCTGATCCCAGGTGGAAAATCCTTACATGTCCAATGGATATGTAAAATCAAGGGAGAAACTAATAGTCTTTTAGCAGAGAGCACTATTAAAGGAAAGTCACGTCAGAAGCGTGGCTCCTTTCCGCAGCTGATGGGGGGAGGGGGGTGTCCCCCGTGGCTATTTTCTGAATGGCTTTTATATATTGAGCACTCGAATATGCAATTTGATAAGTGTGTGTGTAACATGCACAAAGAGGTGAAACAGAATACCATCTTAAGAAGTACACTGAGTAACGATGCAAGAAAATGCCAAATCGTACAAAGTGTACGATAACAATTGTCGTAGCCATAAAAAGAAGGCTTGTGTGGCAGCAACAAACTATGGTTAGAAACATAGTCATAAAGAGCATCATAAACAAATCATATGGTAGTAGTGTTTGAAGATTACCTTGAGGTATAAAGGGTTAGGGCAATCTTTAATGTGGGTTGAAGCTTACCAATCAGCTGAGGGCTCTAAACAGCATGGGTAATGTTGCCGACTCTCTATACAGAGACAGGCTGGTGTTTAAAGTAGGGACTGGGGATGAAGAAAAATACTGTGGGAGCTGTGTAAGTGTGTTTTTTAATATTTCATTTAATAAAGTCTTTAAGCACAGAGCACTATTAGTTTCTTCCTTGACTTTACATATCCATTGGGCACGTGAGGATATTCCACCTGGGATCAGCAGAGTTTCCATTCAATTCATACCCTTGTTGGGGAATGCAAGATATGACTTGCCTGTTAGTTCAGGAGTCATATCTTTAAGGTGAGTGGCCACATTTCCTTCTGGTGACGGGGACTGAACACAGTGTGCACCCGGATGTGTATGCATGTCACGTCTCCCTTTCACCGTTCGATCAGTACTTTCCTTTACATCTATGGACTTTGCCTGTGGACTTTTTTATATTTGATTATTTTGCACTGCACTTCATTTATTATATTACTGCACCTTTTATTTGGCCTAAACATTCACCTCCTTAAAGTGGTTGTAAAGGCTGAAGGTTTACACAGTCTGCCAATGTCCATCGGACTGTGCAGACGCTGAGAAATCTGGGAGGTTCTTACCTTTCAGGAACTCTGCATAATCTCATCGTCTGAAATCCCAGACACTACCCTTTTGTTGCCAGCTTCCTGGAAGGGGTTAACGCTGTGGGATTGAGTGTTGACGTCCCCTGCTTTGGAAAGAACACAGACAACATATCACACAGTGTAAAAGAAGCATTTCCCTGCTGCTGCTTGCAACAATCTGTGTAGCAATTCGATCTTTAAACCTGTTGGCCTTCTACACTGACTTTGGTCACCTTCAGCTATCCAGCCCTCCCTTACATCCAGCTGTCCGGGTTTTGTGGTATTCTCAGCCTATACAGGATGTTGCCTTACCGCCACCTGGTTGCACCATGTCTGAATATAGATACAGAGGGGACAGACTCGCTGTACTGGGTGCCCCCAGGTCACTTTCTACTAATGGCTCTGGGGTTGCTTGCACTGTCCTTCTGATAGTTCCAGAATCTGCAAACTGGAATCTTGTTTCCCTCTGCACTGTAGTCTATTCAGTCTTTCTAGTCCTTAAGCTCCATTGGGTGTGCCTGGGTCCTCTGTCATTTCAGTTGAGATGTTTACCACAGTCATGCAAGACTTTGACCCAACTGATCCAGTGGTTTGCCGATTTATGATTGCAGAGACTGCAAATGCACTCCCATGCCCTCTACAGCAAATTCTATATCTGATTTCCCTGTAATCCTAACAGCTTCCAAGCCATCTGCGTCAGAGACTGTCTCTCAAGTTCTCAACTCTTGAAATTGCCCCTGAGGAGTTTCAATGTACTGCTATTCCTTCCAAATTAGAGAACACTATTTCAGCTCCTATTGATTAAGTGTGCACCACTCTAAAACCAGAGGCTCAGTCTGTTGCTTCTACCACTGTTTGCAGACTTGGGTTCGATAAAACTCATGCACTGTCCTACCTTATCAAGGCTCTTGTCATTCCGATAAAGGACACATCTGCCTTTTAAAGGCCTCTCAGCCTTTTAAAGGCCTAACTAATAAGCAGTTGGAAGTCCTTTCTAGAGCTCTGCTCTCTCTCTCTGGTGGATTCTTCCTTTCCCCTGATCCTGGCTGTGACTTTACAGTCTGACTAGTCAAATTTCCTTAAGAGATCTAACCACTGCTGTGATTAACTATTTGCTTATTGAACACATGAAGCAGATGTCTATAGTGTTAAATTCCATTTTTGATGATTTGCTCGAAGCCTTCCGTTTTTGTCTCATTAATACAGATGCACTACTTTTGTGCAATAAGCATTTGATCCACATGGCCTTTGAGAAACATTTCTTTAGACTGGCTCTTGATAGTATCCTCAAGGATGCTACTGGTGGCAAGAGCACCCATGTTTCTCAGAGTAAGAAGAAACAGACTAAGGAACAAAGTATTTTCCCTCTCCAGCTGTTAGATGTTCTTTTTTTGTTTCTCATCTCTCTTGATTTCTAATAGAGAACCTCCAAGTTTGGCTACTTGTGCACACGCAAGGTCTGATGCTTAGTCTGTCAAATCTTCAGACAAGCCTTCATCTGCTTGAAGGAGCGTCCCACCTTTGAGAGTGGAGGGATGTTTGCTGACTTATGCTGATGCTTCAATAGCTTGCCTCCTAGATGCTTGAGTGCAGTGTTACACTCTGGAGTTTCATTCCCTGCCCCCTCAGTTTTTTACCTTCATCCTTCCTGTGTCACCACATAGACTAGTACATCTCCATTGAGCCCTTTCCGGTCTTCTGAATCATGGTGTCATTGCCCCAATTCCAATGGTTTCAGGGCTTTTACTCCAACCTATTCACTGTTTCCAAACCTAAACAGAGAATTTTCCCCATTTTGGATCTCAAGGCTCTGAATATCGTCATTCAAAATTCTGAATGTGCTCCATCAGATTTGTAAATTCTCCCTTTAGCATGGAGACTTTCTGGCTTATGTGGATATTAAAGATGCTTACCTACATGTCCCCATCTTTCCAGCACATCATCGATTTCCAACACTTTGCTATGAGGTCCCTACACTACCACTTTGTTGGTCAAATCCTTAAGCCTCTCACCTGCACCTTGAGTATTCACCGAGGTGCTGGCCCCCCAATGTTGACTTTGCTGCGCTCCTCAAAAGATACTTCAGACTCTGATCTTGGGTTCAAATTCTCCAGCAGCTGAATCCACTTTTGAAAGAGTCCTAGGTCTGATGTACTCTCTTAAGCAGTTTCCTTTGCCAGTTCCACTACAGGCAGCTGTTTGGAGGAAGTCTGTCTGTTTTTTGGACAGGCCAGCATAGTTGATGCAGAGAACCAGGTTACATCTGGCTTGGTGGCTCAAGAATTTGGCTCTTTTTGCAAAGTGGAGAAACAGAAAAGGTTGTCTCATGACAGACGCCAGCCTAGTGGGCTGAGGAAGAGTCCTGGTCAACATGTCGGCGCAGGGGTCATGGTTGTCAGTGGATTCTCATTTCCCCATAACCACTCTTGATTTTTGGGTGTTTTGCTGTCTCTAGAGTGTTGGACCATCCTGAAGGAGGATCATCTGTTCCAGAGTCTGACAGACAACTCCACGGTAGTAGTGTATATCAACCATAAAGGATACCCCCACAAGTCTTGCCACAGCAGAAGAGGTAGTGTCTTAGGCAGAACTTCAGTCTCGTTGGCTGTGTACAATCCAGGCAAAGACAATTGTCAGGTATTTTTTCTCAGTTGTCAGAACCTGGACCGAAAAGAGTGGTTCCCTGTCTGGAATTTGATACTGCTAGGAACGTTTAATGGAATTCATGGTGCGGGTTGTACTTCTACAGACTTCAAACAATTCTTTATTCCAAATATTACAAAGAAAACAGCACAGGATTTAAAGGATGTTAACATGTTTCACACAACTTATACACCAGCTTGGCCTTTTTAAAGGATGTTGAAAAATACTGGAGCCGCTGACGGCATCAGCAGATAATAAAACTAGTAATGCTATTGAAAGACTTCATTGTATATGTAATTTTTTTTTATTTTTTTTGCCAGCAGTTCCACTTTATTAGTTTTTGCTCATGTATTCATTTAGGTTTTTTTTTTTTTTTTTTTTTTTTTGGTTGGGGAAAAAAAATAAATTTTCTTTAGCTGTGGTCAAAACTGATCCTATTTTCCATTGTTGCGGTGCCTTACTTTAGCTCTTTTACCTTTTTATAATTGTTTACCATCATTTAACCATACAAGTGTCATCTATTAAAGGTGCCGGTTTTTGAGAGAGGAAGACCGGGCCAGGAATGAATATCCAAGTCTTCATTACCCAGAATTGTATCTGCTTAAAGGGGGCTACAAAGAATTTTTCCCAGAATACAAGGTAGGACTTCATAACTGTGTTGATAATTTTTTGTTGCTATTTGTTGCTATGTGAGGATGCCTAGAACCAGTTCCTTTTTAAGAAGACAATCAAAAAAAAAAAAAAAAAAAAAGGAAAGGCAAGCATGCTACGTTGGTCATTGTGTACTGTAGATATTGCCTTTTCAAGTAGTGTTTCATCATGTAGCTTTACAGTCGATGAAGTTAGCAGCATATGCCAGTGTTTAAAACAACATTGAAGTCTATTTTTATTTTTTTTTAATATAAAAGAGATTACACCTAAGTGCTTTGTACAACAGTAATGAACAAAAATGTAATTTTCCTCTGGTAGTCCCCATTGGTGCTGTCTACTCCCCCCCCCCCCCCCCCCTTCCGGGGCCTCCTGTAGTAAGCCAGATGCTAAGAAGGCACCCATGCATGCAAGTTTCCTTCGGTCCCTGTGCTGAGCTGTGAGCATCGAAACACACACACACACACAGCAGTGGTAAGCTACTCCCCGGCTTCCTCCTCACAGGAGTTAGACTGATGGCAGCAGCGGCTGATTGCTCAGTTGCCCTCTATTACTCTCATGGAAGCAGGAAGTGAGCCTGAGATGGTGCTCGAGTGGTGACACCTTAATGCCAAGAATACAAACCAAAATTGTGTGTGTGTGTGTGTATACATTGTACAGATGCATCACTAAGGGTATCCCACTGACATGTTCTTAAAAAGATTTTTGCATATTTTATGTTAATCTTGAAGCATTATTAGAATTTTTCTGCCATGTGAATTTTTTTTGCTTTTTATATTTGTTTGTAGATGTTCCCCAGCGCAATGTTCAGTCTTCCCATGACATTTGTTTGGAAATCCCTTGCCTATTTGCCTAGAAAATTGCCATTTGTATTTAATATTCAGCGCCAATTGATTTCAGTCTGCTCCTGATTCTGCACTAAAACTTCAGTAAAGTTCGCTGAACCGAACACATGTATGTTTGGCACATCACTATTTGGAAACCACAGGGCCCTGAATGTCTCAGTGTTTGTTGATGCCAAAATGTTACCTGCATATTAGCGGTCACTAGAAAAAGCATGCTCCAGAACTTTCTAACTGGTTTTGTTGTTTTCTTAATTCTCATTGATTTTTTTTTTCCCCAATAAATTTTTCTTAAATCAGAACTCCAGTTAATCTTTTTAGGGGGTGAGGACTAAGTTCATACTCACCTGACCTGCCGATCCTACAGAAAACCATGCTCCCCCACAGTCCAGTGGACTGTTCTTGTCTGTGGAGCACGTGTTGAGCATGCTGACATCAGGAACAATCCATTACAAGACCACTGGACCACGGGGGGGGGGGGGGGGCAGAAGCTGAAAGAATCGATCTTGTGCGGGGAGGATCGTCAGGTGAGTATATCTTCGGTGTTCCCCTAGAACAAAACACACATTTAACCCGTGCAGTTCTGGCACAGCCCCACTGTATGGGCAAAAAGATTTTTTTTCAGGAGTGATACTAGACATATCAACATCGAAAGATGTCTTTTATTATGGCAGAGCTCCAGCCAAAAGTTTTAATTTTGAATGAGGAGGGAAAGTTTCTGTAACCTTTTTAAGTTTTGTATTGCTGTCCTTGTACCAGTGGGAGAGTTTCTCTTACTTTGAATCTCTTGCAGTTGTCCAATGAAACAAAACTTGATATGAAGTCTAAATTTTTACAATTGTCACAGGAAGTAGTGTTGATTGGAAATCTACCCTCACTTTGGGTACATTTATTTTCTGTCCTTGTTTTTGTCTTCAGGAAAGGAAACTGGGTGAAGAGAAACGTAATATAATAGCACATGGCAGATACTGGGGAGTCTATCTACCTCGGGGATACTGATGCTTTATATCTGTACTGAAAATCCTAGATCTTCACACCTGCTGTGGCCATTTTTGATGGTACAGCCTGTAATTTGTGGCATCCATTGCTGACCTGTTGAAAATACTAGATGATTGGCTCCTAGGCATACCCTCTAGTTTTATTATACTCTGGGCCACTGACCTAGAACATATGTAGATTAGAAAAGTCAGAAGTCTTCATATGCATGCTTGTTCTACGTCAGTGACTGAAAGTATTAAAGTAACTGACTCGGACTCTGGGACATTTTTCCCTTGTGGCAGAAGTCAGGGAATAAACAGACTTTGCTTACCTTTTTTGTTCTTTCCATAGGTTTTGTGTGAGCCTCAGGGATACTGCCCTATGCATCACCAAGATTACAGAGAAGAACTGCTGAAATGCCGTACAAAGAGCAAATCCTGGGCAGGCGATCGCAAAAGGAGGGATCAAATCGCTAGACTGATGAAGCTGTAAAGTGCCAAATGTAAACCCAATCACACTCCCTGTAGCTGCTCATCCATTTTTCCAGCTCTGCTGCTTGCACTGCCATATAAGACCTGAAATGGGTTGACGCGTACCACTGACACTGTGAAATAATTTTATTAAATATATTCTTTGTGAAAATATGGCAGTGTGGAATATGCATTTGAGTGATGTGGACGGACACCCTGACAATATGAATGCAAGGGAGTGCTGGAAAGGATCAGTCCTGTATCTTGGCTTTCTTAGCTCTATTTATATAAGTGTCTACACATTTGCTTAAACTGTATGTAAAACCTAACAACAAACTTATTTTTTTCCTGTTGGTCTAGTAAATATACAGATGAAAGGGTTTTGTTATATCTGTTTGGTAAGTGCAAAAATGCTCTGTGAGACTGCCAGAAATTCAGTGAGCTTGTAATTTACTGTACACTCTGTAGTATTATCAGCTCACCTCTGCTGTAAACTATAGAATAACTCTGTTATAGAGATCGGGGAGGGGGTTTTCTGGGTTAGTTTAAACATCCTGTCCTAGGGGTACAATGCTGCTCTTCTATACATTACAGTGATTACCAAATGAAAGTAAATGGAGGGAATAAAGGTAATGAAACCACCACTTCTGAGGACTGGTAAGCTTCAGTATATTCAATCTGTATTCTTGAGAATAGCTATACTTTAAAATCATGTTTGTTAATGGTGGCCTACAAGCTGCTACTAAAATATCATTCCTAAAAGTATTTAATTTCCTAGAGCTGTTTAAAAGAGGTGTCAGATTTGGGAGTCTGTCCTTCATTGAGGATAGAGGTGCTCAATTTTTTGAGAGGGAAAAGGAGGTGGAGGTACCCATAGATGTCAAAATCAGATTTTAGCTACTGGTTTACTTTGGACCATGTAGGTAGCGCTCCTCTACAAAAACAGCACAGAGCAATTAATTTGACTGGCATTGCATAATTTTAACGACAAGTACTATATTTAGTGCATTATGTTATGATTGTTTGTATATCATGCCAAAGTTTTTTGTTTTTTTTTTTTTTTTTTTTTACACAGCTAGGCGTCCTTTAATAAAACTAAACCAGTTCGCCATTTTAAAATTAAAAAATTATTTTTTAAAAGTAATAACATATTCATACTGTTGCATTGTGGTAATTCGCACAGGTTGGCAGGGTTTAATTGCTAGACAAGTAACTGTGCTAGGTAGTGAGGCCAGGATAAGGATGACTGCTCAGGGACTTCTGTCCCCACAAGTGCACCTTAAAGCAGATGAGGTTGACAGCCAAGCAACTAGCATTTTCAGAAGAATTAACCCAACTGTAAAGCATTAAAATTACTTTGTACTATCCTGGCCTCAGCGCCTTCTGGCTGTCTTTAACTCACTTGTTCCCTAAACTGTGTGACATTGCACTTGATACAAAAGGGATAACAGGCGCATGGTGTAGTAGTCCATGTATGTTTGATGAGTTCCAAATGGGCAGGGGTGAAGGTAGTCCAGTAGGCACTAAGGGCAAGCTGCGTAGGAGCGAAGCATAATTCTGCAGAAGGAAAAAACAAAGAAACACAGTGCCTCTAAGTGTGTACTGTAAAGGTATTTAATAAAAAGATAAGGAGTAACTCACATCTTAGAATTTTAAAAACCGGCTCATGGGTAAGAGGGTGAGACGTCTGTAGCCAGATGATGTTGTGTGTCTGATCCAGAGAGGAGATCGATTGAGTCCGTCAGCAGGTGGTGCTGTGCATGTGCAACATGGATGGTAAGCCTGGTGGAATCTCCAAGGTGTCTGCCAGCAGATGGTGCCGTGCATATGCAGCATGGATGGTGGAGCTTGGCAGAGTCTCCAAGATGTCCGGGATCAGCACATTTGGTGTCTGACAGCATCAAAATGTGATGCGTTTCTGAGCATGTGCAGGACGAGATAAGTCCAGGCGCGCTCTTTCATCATCTGGCTACAGCCGTCTCACCCTCTTACCCTTGAGCCTGTTTTTAAATTCTAAGATGTGAGTTACTACTTATCTTTTTATTAAATACCTTCACAGTACACACTTAGAGGCGCTGTGTTTCTTTGTTTGATATTGCACTTGAAGCTGCAGAGCCACTTAAAAAAAAAAACAAAAAAAAAAAACTTGGCATATGCACACTACACTCTCTAATCCTATAGGGGGTTTGTATTGCATGCTTTGGTGGAGCAATAAATGGAGTGAGTACTGCACAGATGGATGGTATCTCTTTAGATGACAAGTGAATATCTGACTTTCAGGGGGGCAAGGGGGAGTGCAAAATAAGGTGTAAATGTACCAAAGGTGAAATTACACTTAAAGGTCTGTTTTCAAGGCTTCTCAACTACACCTGAATGGTGCTTTTAAAAGTTTTATGAATGTTGTTCAGAGCTGGCCAAGTCCTTACTAAATACTTCATGAAGCTAATGATCATTGGAATGGCATTTGCAAGCCAAGATTAAACCTCACCCCTATCTTTAGGACCTGGAGCTGTTTCTCAGGAGTCAGCAGCTCAGATGTTGCTCCAAAGAGAGAAGGCAAGCTAGCTGATTGCTTAGTGGCACTAAATCAAAGAAATAAACGCAATTTTAGATCCCATACCTTTAGCGGAAGCGGTGTTCCCAGTAACTTTTTTACTGTACATCTGACATTGTATCCTTTATTATAAATTAGACCTCTAAAGTAGTCACTCTGAGAAAGGCCGTTGAAGACCTACCTTCAACTTCCTTTCTCAGGGTGGTCACTAGATTTAGATGAACCCACTGCAGGTGGGAAAGCAAGAAGGTTATGTTCCAACACATCCAGCCTTGTGCATTAAAGGAGAGATAATTCCCACTGGTAAATCTAGGTCCACATGACACTGCTCAATAACTACAGTTTTGGGACTCACATTGATGCCGGTCCTGAGTGTCAGAATAAGTATAAGACCTGCCAGCCCCAACAAGTGATGACATATGCACAGTGTAATCAGTCGGCGCAAAGGCACATAGGATTATTCATTGAAGCGGAACAGTGCAGGTGACTGCAACGTACAGGTACTGCTCTTACCCATAGGCAAGAAGTGAGGGGAATGGAGCCACCATTGGTTAGAATTGTAAAAAAAAAAAAATAGGAGACTGGGCACAATTTAAGAAACTTATTGATTGTGTCACTTAACTATACTTACTATAGCATATTTTTTTGTCAATTGAGGGATCTAGGAATTCAGAAACAGTTGGGTTATATTGCTACTTACAGCAGGTTGGGGCACAGGCAAATAATAGTAAACCAATGCCTGTATAACCCCTCCCCTATCCTGCATGCCTCCTGTTTTGCTAGTGTCCTAGGAAATTGAGTGCCTTTTCTTCAGCTCTGCTGGAAAAAAGTTTTATGTTTTTTAAAGCTTCCTCACTTCACCCTCAATTTTCCTCAGTGACTTCAATGAAGATTTCTTGCTACTCTTTTGGTTGAGCTGGCTTCTATATAGCAGCTATCCGGATCAGCAGCTCCATAGCACAGGCTTTGGAGGCCGTACCCAGATCCTGCTGGATTGGACAAGCGGGGCTAGCTTGGAATGAGACCTTCGAGCACTGGGCTCTGCATTATGGCAATATTCAGACCTTCATGTACTGTTGGTTAAGCACGGAATGCTTTCTGGGCCCAGAACCATGGCACAGCCCCAGATTTGGCCATGTTTCTGAAAACTAAGTCTGGCTGGGCTGAAACATCTGGAGCTACGTTACTATTTGCACCATTGGGTGTGTTTAACATCTGTGCCACTGCTAGTTTTACCATGTAAAATGTTATGGCTGAGTGATCGAGCACTGACTACATCTGCTGGGTGGAGTGTTGTGCGTGTGTGCTTTGTGCTTTTTCCTGTCTGAAGGAGGCAACATCTTTATTCTGATCCTGCACCACCATGTGGATCTCTGGTCTGATTCCACTGCCTATCGTGCCTTGGTCACCTCTGGCTGCCTGAAAGCCTCATCAGCACCAGCTTCTTGGTTTGTGGGTATGTGATGCCTTGCCTCATATTGGGCCTAGTTGATTTAATGCTGTGCTGATACAAAATGTCTTCACTAAGACACGGAAGACAGACCTGCTGCCACCGGTGACCTCATCCCACTTTCCCCTAGTGGTTCTGGCATCACCAGAAGGAACCAATGCCTGTAATCTCATTCTGACTCCCAATGGTCTACCTGTAGAATGACTGACTGTTTTTGAGGCACCAGTCTCCTATAGTTGACTCAGAGCTACAAATCATTTTCCCACTACACCCCGCTATTTGGGTTATTCGTCTACGAGGACTGGAAATGTCCTAAAGGTGCCTAGGCCCCTTCTGAGTGTCGGAACCTTTTCCCTTTTGAAAAGGAAATTATAAATTAGTGGTCCATTCCCAACATGCATCGGTGATCCACAATAACAGGTTACCACCAAATGGGTTGGGACAGTTATAATCTCTCTGTAAATGCCAATTTGAATTACCTGGAGTGTCTCTGTCCTGTGTTGGTGGTGACTTTTAATCTGCCAAACTGTGTCAGAATGGTTGGATTCTTCTGAACAGGATGCCTTCACCAGTGGGGTAGCACCCTTTTTCATTGAATGATTCAAGCAAATGCCTAGGATGCGGCTTTAGTTGTGACTTGTGGCATGTTACAAGCGTCCAAATTTGTGACTCGCATGGGACTAATGTCTGTTCAAATGCGTAGAGCATTCTGGTTATGCACTTGGGATGCTGATGAGGTATCCATGAAGAATCTTACTTTATTATCCCTTGAGGGATGTTGTCTCTTCGGAACTGCTCTTTAGACCATCAGTGGCAACAGCACAAGTGCCCAGAGTGTGCACCTGCCTCAATGCAGGAGTTTGTGAGAGGGTGGAAGAATCTCGCCCTTTTCCTTCATCAGCAGTATGTACACATATGCATCCATAGACTACCTAATGCACAGGCCATTGAGCTTGAAGGCAAAGGTCAGCTAATGCATCTGTCCTCTACATTAATGTGCCAGTTGTACAAACTACTT